AAAAGACGAAGATTTTACGAGAATGATACACTTCCCGAGAACATTGATGAGTAGCTATCACAGTTCAAAAGGATGAAGAGTTTGTATAAAAACAATTAGTAAGTCAAAAAAAAAAAAACCCTAGATAACATCTAAGTCATGATTAATTAATTAATAATTATATCTAGAGAGCTAGCATATAATCACCTTTCAATTAATCATTTAAAAACCACTTAGCTTGTGAATTCAATTAAACAATTATATCTTGTTCCTTGAAGAGAGTTATCTATTGAAAACCCTAGAGTATGAACTACTTGTGTAAATCAAAATAGAAATCTATAAAGATAAATACTCATAGGATCATGAGGAGATTAAAAATATATTTATTAAAAACTTCAAAACATAATTGTTCAACTGAAATACAAATCAAATATCAGTATACAAAAGAAATCAAAATCGATCCTAACCTAGAAAATTCATAAAAGCAACGTACTAGTGGATTGAAATATGAAAAATAACAAGCTCCTTAATATAAACAAAAACTCAAACTATGTCATCTTATCCTCAGGAACAAAGAAGACCACACATATGGCTAGATGACACTATAATGATAAAAAGAAAATAAAAATAAAAAGATAGTAAAAAAACTAGACACAAGAAGAAGCCAAGTGTATGCTTGTGCTTGTGTAGTGTAGATGGTTTCATTGTTTCTTCAAGGCTCCTTTGATCTCCTTTTGTAGTTTTTGAATCTGTCCTAGTTGGATGAAGAAATCATTGAGTTTTCTAGCTTGATCTTTATCTTCTTTTATCTTGTAATCTTAATAGAACTTTAAATTTGAATTCTCTTTATTTGGTGTGATCTTCATGGCAACCAAAGTAAAAGAGCTTTTGAATTTAAGTGATATTGAATAAAACCTGAAATCAAAGCAAAGATACCTTTCAAAAGAAAAATTATAAAAAATAAAAAAATACACTTTTAAGCAATTAATTTATATAATTTCCTTAATTTAAAATATGAGTATCTTCTGCATTTTAAACCCTTTGAACATTATAAAATCCCTTAATTATATATAAAAATATATTATAAAATAGGGATACATCACCATGCATGTGGGATTAGAGTGGTATTCCCCAATCCCAAATACATGAGTTTGTCTAATCCCATATAATAAGTAATCTCTCATGTTAGACACTATTTTTCCAATCCCAATCTCAATCTCTCAATTTTAATATTTTGTACCAAACGATATCTATCTGTATAGAGTTGTGTGGGGAATGCTTAAACGCGAGTTTGTTATAATAATAATTATTATAATTATTACAACTATAATGAAGAATTGTTCAAATTCCCAGATGATAATCTGACAACAAAGCAAATCAAAAATCAGAAATCAGAAATCAGAAAAGAGATCAGAAATCAAAACACGTGTTTATGTGAAGCTTGAATCCAAATCATTGCGATTAGTGTTTTATAAGTCTTGCCATCTTGTGTCCCCACCAAACCCCCCCCCCAAAAAAAGTCCAAACACGTCCTAACATTTCCCACATGCACAATTTAAAAATGGTCTAAAGGTAAAACATAACACGAATAAAATTGGATGCTATATTATCTTAATTGTCAGTTTAATTATATGTGTATATATTGCTAATACTCCCTCCGGTCTTATATATAAGCTTCAAATAACTAAATTACGTTTAACGAACTAGCAGTTAAAATTAGTTAAAAATAATAAATAGTTAAGAAATATATTTTTTAAAAAAAAATATGCCCTTATTTATTAAGACAGTAAATGAAAGGTCATAAATGAAAGAAAATGATGAAAGAAAATATATGGAGATAATATTAATAAGAGAGATATATAATCAACTGAGAATAAAATTAAAAAAAAAAGTAATAAATGATTAAACAAACTAAAAAAAAAAAAGCTTACATTTTGAATTAAATTCATCTCTAAAAGTAAAATTTATATATAGGACGGGAGGGAGCATAGGCGTGGGCCAATGAATGAATGAAATGAAACTGTATGGAGACTGTAAGAATTACAAACAAAATTAATTATGAAAGGTACAGAACGTGACTTTGAAATCATAAGTTGAGTCAAGCGCAATAAATGTCCTTATTGAGACACTGTGATTGACTAGTTCTCAATATTGTAAGTTCAAATAAAATTTTTTTGCATATACTTATCTCATATTTTGTACAAAATTTTTTCTCCCATATGATTAAAAAACTATTTATTAACCATTTCAACCGGGCATAATTTTTTTTTTTTTTGCGTTTGAGTTTGACGTTTTTTTATTTACAAGCCATGTCCAAAATTCGTCACATTACATATCCCTTGATTTTCAACACAAAGTCACCACGTTCACACACTCATCCCCCTCGTCTCATTTTCTGTATCATGACTCGATAGGTGTTTGCTGCCACATGAGACATGTTTATACCTTTTTTTCCCCTTCTCTTAAATGATTCTTAAGGCCTAATCCATTTTTTCTTTTTTGGGAGCAAAGCTAGCTGATAAACTTGTTGACCAAAGTTTGCTTGCACTCCTTGCGGTACTTTTAGTTACGCGTATGTTCATTTTAGTTCTATAATACTATTTCCGGTTCTGAGAAAAAAAGCCCACCAGAATATAATCTGTTGAATTATTTTCTTTCGTCTACTGAAGACTCTGGAATGACATATTCCTCCGGTCCTTAATATATGACTTAACTATAAAGTTAATTTTGGTTCTAAATATAAGAACTATTTTTCATATTTATCTATTTTTTAAATTATCTTTATAGATACTTCCTCAATCATAATCAAGTAGAAGAGGGAGAGAGAATATTAAGAAAGATGATTATGGTATTTTAGAAAAAACATGTCATATTTTTTATAATTAACTAACTTACCTAACTTCTTTCATCTAATCAAATTAGTTAAATATGTCTTCTATTAAGCATCAGAAGAATAATTCACAAGCCTGCCTAATGAGATCAAGCTTCATCATGGATGATGGACTTAAAGCATATACAGTACAAAACCGAACTCAGCGAAGCTACTTGATGTGTGTGTGTGTGTAATATATTTATATGGATAGCCAGAAAAAGGAAGAGAATTTTTTCTTGTACTGATTTTTAGAAATAGAAATAACATCAAAAATGATGAATTAGTCATATGAAGATAGACCTTCATATTCTTCTTCTCAACGTCCTCGCATTCTTCTTCTCCAATTTTTTCTGAACCAAAATAACACGCAAGGAAAAGTAGTGGATCCTCTCTCCTTTTTCTTTCACACTATTGAATTAAAATTTTAATGGTACAGATGTAGTATCTTATAAAAATATTATTATACATGCATGAATGTATAAATAAACTTAGACTGTTAAAATTTGATTTGAACGGACAATTATTAATGGATTTTTTTACTACAGTTTTGTTTAGATCAAATATTGACACTTTAAACAAACTTATGTATTTTTTGAGTATAATTATAATAATACTTTTATAAAATGTTAAAATGAAAGGAGAAATAATATCTTTCGATTAGCATGATTATGATCGAAAATATAATATTATTCTCCCCTCTTATCTAATTTCGTAAAACAAAACGTAACAAAACATAAAAAAGATGTTCTGATTTTTTCTCGTCTTTTAAAATAAATTTTGACTTTTTTAATTTTTAACACAACCAAAAATACATTTTCAAACATGTTTTTATATGTTTTTTCTTTAAGTTTTTTAAAACAAAAAACTGCTTTGAAAACTGAAAGCCAAACAAGCTTTATATATATCTTCCTTGCGTTGAGACTATACCCTTCCGTTTCATACACTAAGCCCTTGCTTGGATTGAGAGAAAATTAGGGAGGAGAAAAAACTAGAGAGGAAAACATGAGGAGAAACAAGTTTTCTCTAACTAAGTCATCTGCAAAGAAAAGGTGTGATAATGCCGGTCCTTTACGTCCCAACTTAATTGGCTTCCACTTGCCTTTGCACATCTTCGCATGGATGGCCTGAGAGAGTCGCTCCATACACAGGACGAAGATGTACGGGGACAGCGGGTCTCCTTGTCTGATGCCCCGCTGTGGTCGAAAAGGGGGAGACGGAGTGCCATTCCACAAGACCTGTGTAGTGGGGGTAGAAATGCATTTCATAATGACATCAATTAGCCTATCTGGAATCTTGGCGTCTCTGAGGGGCTCTTCCACAAAGTCCCAACGCAACTTGTCAAAGGCCTTCTCAAGATCAACCTTAATGGCCATCCAACCTGTTTGCCCAGTCTTCCTTCTCACTGTGTGTATAACCTCCTGAGCAATAATGATGTTGTCGGTGATGTTACAGCCTTTGATAAAGCTTGTTTGGTATGGCGCAATGAGAAGAGGCATACCGAACTTGAGTCTGTTTGCCTTTACCTTCGTAATGATTTTATAAATTGTATTGCAAAGACTCATTGGTCTAAATTCCTTGAGGGTTTGGGGGTGATCCACCTTAGGAATTAGAGCAATAAGAGTCTTGTTGAAACTCTGATCCACTTCCTTTCCTTCAAAAATACCTCTCACTTCCTTAAACATGGCATCGCCCACTATGTCCCATTGAGTCTGGAAAAAATGCACATGGAGGCCGTCTATTCCTGGCGATTTAAGATGGTGCATATCAAAGAGAGCGTCTTTAATTTATGCTTTAGTTACAGGAGAAGCTAGGAGGTTAGTGAGAACATCAGTAGGGGGGGGGAAATAAACTTTTGTAGGGATACATCGTGGGTTCTGCCTGATCTAATGAGTAAAGATTCTTGAAGTACTCCATAGCCATTGAGGAGAGTTTAGATTGATCGGTTTCCCATTGCCCCTCCTCATTTTCCAGCATTAAAATACTGTTCTTACTTCATATGCTAATTTTCTTTCCTTCCTGTTTTCTCTCATCAATCCAAGCAAGAGGGATGATCACAACTTTCCTCCATTTTTTCCTTCTCTTTATTTTCTCTTCTCCTATTTTTTTTTTCCTCTCAACTTTTCTTTCCATCCAAGCACAGCATAACTGACCCAGTCTCCTCAGCCTACTCAGAGCACCAATGGCTATTGATTCTGTGAGAACCATCTCCTTTCGTACTCTTCTTCTTCTCCATTCTCATTTCTATGACTACTGCTTAACTTCCTTTGGAACCTATGCGCCAAACAGCACCTACCAGTTCAACCTCAACATCCTCCTATCCAAAACCACTTCAAACCCTAACGTCGATTACGGCTTCTACAATCTCTCTTACGGTCAATCCCCAGACACAGTCTACGCAATCGGACTCTGCCGAGCAGATGTTACTCCAACCACCTGCCGTGACTGCCTCAGAAATTCCACCACCGTTACGCATTCCTGTTATGGTTACAGCAGCGCTATTTCAATATACGACGAGTGCCTATTGTTCTACTCAGGATCTGTAATATTCGGCGTCGTCCCGACTCTGGATTTCACTATCTACAATAGGAGCGTGAGGGAAAATATAACAAATTGGGATGAGTATAAGCTAGTTGTGAATGGCTTACTTGGAAGTCTGAGTGGGAAAGCAGCGTCCGGTGATTCTCACCGGAAATTCGCCGCCGGGAATACTGAAGCAGGATCCAGTGGGAGGAAGATATACGGTGTTGTTCAGTGCATGCCTGATTTGGATGAGTCGGAGTGTCGTAATTGCTTGGACGGGGCTATCTCGAAAATTCCAGAATGTTGTAATGGTAGCGTAGGAGGCAGGGTTTTTAAACCGAGCTGCAATATCAGATTTGAAAGTTACAGATTCTATGAAGCGACCGCTGATGTACCAATTTCAGTATCAGCACCGGCACCGGCACCGCTAGTTTCTCCTCGTTCCGTCTATATGACATCGTCACAGGGTACTTTTCAACTTTTCTTAAATTAACAGTTTCTCGTTGTTTTTTTGGTACTTTTCAATCTTAAACCGTTAGGCTACTTCTCGTCAGAAAAAACCATAAAAAAAAAAAAGGAGAGAAAAACCATTAGTGCTATCCTTTAATTCAAAAAATAACGAAATAAAAATATGAACAATCCCACATTTAAATCCAACAAAAATGTTCAAATTCCAAATTAATTGGCCCATCAAATTCAACAAATCTCTCATTATATTAGATCATGAGGATGAATTTGGAATTTGAGAATCTTGTACTTTTATTATACCACATTGCTCCTCGACCTTTCTTTAAAAAAAATTAAAAGGAAAAAAAAGAAAAAAGGCTACCCCACTTGTGGCCGAAGTTTTAGTGAACCCGTCACGATAGAAGCCCTAGTGACCGAAGCTCTAACACTGGGAGATTGTCGGAGCTTCAGCTAGTGGTGATGGGAGTGGCGGCCGATTGTCAATAGAGGCAACTTAGAAAGAAGAAATAAACGAAAAGTAATTTAGCAAAAGACACATATTTAGAAATCCTATGATCCTATTAGAGATTTGTTAAGTTTATAGGATCAAATTGAAATTTAGGTATTTTATCTTCATTAAAAATTGTCTTTTCCATAAAAATAAGCAAAGACATAAATACCATCTAATCCTTATCTACAGGGGAACGAGGGAATGACACTTGAGTTGTCACCTATATAGTAATTTAATTTAAGTTTGTGATTACAAAATGTCAAAATTTCAGTTAAGGACTTCTAATCCTTAATAATGACACCAAACTTCATAACTACTCTTCAAAAATGTTCCATGTATAATTTTTACAAAAAAAAAATCAATTACAAATTATTATATAAATATCAATTTGCAGAAGACTATATGTAAATCTTTTCAATAAATATTTTCAAAAATTTTTGTTAACTTTCCAAAACTTGACACTAATATGTGAAAAATTTACAAATGATATTCCAACTTGTAACATGGAAAAGTAAAACAATCTTTAATACATATAGATATAGAAATTTTACGCTAAGTTTCCAGAATTTTAGATGATACGTGAAATTTTGCAACTAATGTTCTAGCTTTTAGAAATAATTCTTGCAACGATTTGACACTTATCGTTCCCAATTTATTATTAACTAATTTTGTATAAAATTCAGCATGGTCCATATCCACACAGTTCACTATTGACTATAAAATAATTTGCAACTAATTTTCTAAAAATGTACAGTCTAATCAGGACAAAAAATAAAGAAAGAAAAAAGAAGTGCCACGTGAAGGGTCTTGAGTTTAAAAAATTGATTAATACCAAAATTCAATCAAACTATAAGTATCAACATTAATATTATTCTTAAGAAAAATCGTAGTAGTAGAGTTTTTGTCCTACAGAGTAGTTGGGCTTTACATATCCAACATGATTGTTTCGTGGGCTTATTGTTTGGGCTTGTGTTTTTGTTTTGTGTAGTAACTTTTTTTTCCCTTGTAACCTTTTTTGGTTCTACTGGAATTCATTTCCCCGGTCAAAAAAAACATCCAACATGTTTCATTATGAATCTTTTTATTTTATTAATTATTGTTAATTAATGAACGTGATCTTTTTTTCTTAGGAAAACACAGTAAGTCACGAGTTGTCATTGAGATAATTGCGCCTGTAGTCGGCTTTGTGGTACTGCTTAGCCTCGTTGGGGTTTACGTTGCAAAAGGAAGGAAACTGGGAACAGCTATTCAAAGTAAGTGCACATACATCCAATCAATATGGTAGCCATGAAAAATCCAGTGACATAATTACAACGACTAGCTTAAATTCCTCTGTACCAGGTGAACTTGAAGCTAACAATAATGAAATTAAGCCTGCTGAATCAATACAGTTCAACTTTAAAACCATCGAAGTCGCTACAAATTCCTTCTCTGATGCAAATAAGCTTGGGCAAGGTGGATTTGGACCTGTTTATAAGGTTAGGATACAACAATGTCATGTTAAATAAATATCAGTTCCAAGTCTAATTACAATAAATCTTGGTTCTTGGTCAACTTCAGGGCAAGCTCTCCAATGGACAAAATATTGCTGTCAAAAGGTTGTCTGGGGTTTCTGGGCAGGGAGATACTGAATTCAAGAATGAAGTGCTGTTAATGGCTAAGCTTCAACACCGAAATTTAGTTCAGCTGCTTGGTTTTTGTTTGGAAGAGAAAGAACGACTCCTTATCTATGAACTTCTTGCTAATGGAAGCCTTGATTACTTCATATTTGGTATGAAATTCTCTTTAAACAAAAATCACCTCACTTTTTGTTGTGTGAATAAATGAGGAACAATCTTGATAATTCTTTAGATGTTTATATCTTGATTTGAAACATGTAGATCCTATTAAACGTGGATATTTGGATTGGGGAACACGTTTCAATATAATAAATGGCGTTGCTCGAGGACTTCATTATCTCCATGAGGATTCCCAACAGCGAATTATTCACCGAGATCTTAAAGCAAGTAATATTCTATTGGATGCAAAGATGAATCCTAAAATATCGGATTTTGGTATGGCAAAATTATTTTCTATTGATGAATCTCAAGCCAAGACAAATCGAATTGTGGGAACCTTGTAAGTGTAACAATTTGATAAAGCTACTAACTAAGGACCCGACATAACAAACAAAACATGAGAGCAAGCACTTGAATGTGATTGTATTTGATCATTTTAACTTGCAGAGGGTATATGGCACCAGAGTATGCAAGATATGGACAAGTCTCTATAAAGTCAGATGTGTTTAGTTTTGGCGTACTAATTCTTGAGATTGTAAGGGGCCAAAAGAATGGTGGCATCCATGATGGGGAGAATATTGAGCACCTTCCAAGCTTTGTATGTTTTCCTTCTTTTCATTATTTAACTTCTTGTCCCTAGAACTAAGTTTAAAAAATTAACTATATTAGATTACTTGAAATTTTTTGCAATTAAACAACTTCTTGCAGGCATGGAAAAACTGGAGGAAAGGAACATCATCAAATATTGTAGATCCCACATTAAATGACAATTCAAAAAGTGAAATACTGAGATGCATTCACATTGGATTGCTCTGTGTTCAAGAAAGGGCTTTTAATAGACCAACCATGGCTTCAGTTTTGCTCATGCTTGAGAGCGACTCTTTCTCTCTTCCAGAACCCTTGCAGCCGGCATTTTTTATGAAAAAAAACAGTTTATCACACATCAAATCTGAGGAGCACAGCTCTGTGCCAACAGCCTCAAGTGAACAAAATAGTAAAACTTCTGACATATTATCAGTAGATGAGGCCTCAATAACTAAGCTATATCCTCGCTAAAAGGTAAGGTCTACATTCACTATTCATCATAGCAATAGGCACGTAATACTTGTCACGGTGACGAGATTGTGTCATCCAAATTTAAAATTTTCAATTTATAAGAACATCTTTATTTTTAGATCTTGAAAAGTAGCCATTATAAGAGCATTTTTATTTTCAGATTCCGTATATATTAAACTAAACAGTTATTTCAAATGTAAAAATTAAAATTAAATTAGATTTGGACTATCCAAAATCAATTTGAACAGTCCAGATTGATGATGAGAACCCCATGATAAGGAAGAAATTTTCTTTGCAAATGTAAGTGTGGAAGTTAAACTTATGAGCCTCAATTACCGGTTTACAATATGGTTTATGAAGAAAAACAATACTTCATGATTGCCAATATAATGAAAGCATTCTCCAATTGCATGAGCATGGGAAGACTCACCCTTTTATTTTTACTTTGAATTCAGTAGTTCATGTGTAGTCAATAGGGATTTTGACGGATGATGAAGGAAGCAATAAAGAAAATAGCTTTTCTTGCAGGTTTAGGCGTTCAGATGCCCGAAGCCCTCTTAATCCTGCAACACCACCACAGATGTTGGTGTAGAATCGAAACAAAAGCTGTTCAGATCCTTCCTTGCTGCTTGTACAAGTTTGAATGCAACTTTGTGAACTTCCAGAATCTTTATGCCACTTGTGTGTTTACCAACAACAGCGTTTGTGTATGAACACTTGGTCGATTGAACTTGCAATGAAAAATATTGATAATAACTCTAATAAGTGACAATCCTCTGAGAAGCCCAATCTTCCCAACTCCTTTGGTCACCCTTCGTAACTATTCAAGCATGCCCCCATGAAAAACGAAACGACTTAACAGCTACTCTCTCTCACTTCCAATATCCTTCTAACCTGCATTTTCTGCATGCTTCCTAGTTCTTTTAAAATGTCCCGTTTTGGCAGTAAAACTCAATTGCAACAAGTTCATGAGAATCTGACAGTAACTCATGTAACTACTAGATTCTAACTTGTAGACAAAACATGGTAGGGACAGCTGCCAAATATCCTTCTTGATGATGTCTTTGTGAACTCCTTTCTTCCTTTGTAGTGCAAAAGGGATGCTCTTTTACCACTAGTGATCAGTACCTGAACTAGGAAATTTTGTGAATGCCAAATAATGTCGATTTGTGATATCCAGGAGAGAACGTCTGTTGTCCATCTAAATAACCTTCTCTTCTGATGGAAGCCTTAAAAATTTGGAAAAGAAAGAATCTTGCTTCAAATTGATTTAAATAAGATAAATGCTTTTAGGATCTCCTTTCTTTTGATGATGATAATCGTCCAACCTGCTTGATTGGATCTTTCATTAAAGAAATTCTATCTCGACTCTCAAATATCTATCCACAAATAGTTTTTGGCGCTTTATTGTCCCCTCCTCTTCTCATTGGTTCAAAACCTTTCCGGTTGGCTGTGTTTAACTGCTCCTGCTGCCCTGTATCTTTCTTTCTTTTGTTTCCTTATCAATCTGTCTTGTCCACCACGCATTAACAAATCTCAATTCCTCAATAGGACTAATGGGAAATCAGTGTTATTTTAATAACATGTGAGCCAATGGACACTGGGTCAGAAAATAAATTGATAAAAACAAATACTACACTTGACCTTAGCCAAAAGGCCTGCAAGTCATTGATAATTTTATTTTGCGTTAATATCATCTTTGGTCTCTAAAGTTTAAGCTCATTTTGATTTTGATCCTTAGAATTTGACGTTGTTTTGATCCACCTAAGACTTTTTTGACTCTGAAACAGTGTTTTGGGTTGCTAAAACAAGGTTTTAAGTACCAAAACCATTGTTTCAAATTTCAAGATCTAAACCAAAATCAAATTTTAGGGACTAAACATGGTATTGACCTTTTTATTTTTGTAGTTTCCACCCATCAATTACAATCTGCTGGTGTTTGCCCCTCAATCAAAGTTCTGGCCACAACAAAATTTTATTAACCTTGCGGTGCACCATATTGATTTTGACCCCCCGTCAATATCCAAAGGAATTAGCATTTTTCTTTCCCCTCTTTTTTTTGTTGTTGAGATTAAACTAAAGGAAACAGTGATAACGTTTCGAAAAAGAAGCCAAGAGAAAAGATAATATTAAAATATCAGAGAAGAAGGTTCATTTAGATTGGTTCAGTTCATAACCATGAAGCATTGGCAGTTATAAACAAACAATTAACATTTGGGTGTTCCCCAGAGGCAACATGGAGCTGAAAGAGACATACAGGCCTTCCGTTTACTTCTTTCCATCAGTGAAAGGCTTCATATCCATCGTAACAAATTAACCAAAGAAGCCTAAGGTGAAAATGTTTCCCTCCGTAAACAGCAGAAATTTACTTCTGATTTTACTCTCAGTTTCTGTGTTCATCATCCCCCATAACTCCCAGATAACCTACCTTTATAAGGCCTGTGACAAACTACCTAGTAGCAGAAATCCTGCAAAATTCAAATCCAATCTCACTTTCCTCTTGAATTATTTGTCTTCCAAATCATCCCTTCACAGCTTTTACAAAGATTTTTCACGTAATCTTTATGGCCTCTACCTTTGCAGGGGAGACGTTTCCGTTCAAACCTGCCAAAATTGTATCAAAGTTGCAACTCGAGAAATCAAAATCAAATGTGCATATAACCCAAGTGCAATCATCTGGTATGATCAGTGCATGCTCAGATACTCTCCAAAGAACTTCTTTGGAGTGGCACAAATTAAGCCTCAGAAACTCATGTGGAATCAGAGAAATAGAACTTCACTCAATCAACCTGATGTCGATGCGCTAGCTCTGATTTACCAACTCATAAAAGAAGCGACAAATACATCTATGCTGTTCAGAGCAAACGGTTCAGAGGTGGTGACAAATAGTTCTGAGCATCGATATGGTCTTGTGCAGTGCACAAGAGACTTAAATAGTAGTTCATGCAGCTTCTGTTTGTCAAAATTAATGGTAGAAGCACAGAAGTTTCGCCAACAGAAGGCTGGTTGGCAAATATTTGGTCCAAGTTGCAATATCAGGCATGAAAATTACATATTCTATCAGCAAATCTTGGGACCAGAGATTGCCCCTATACCACCAATGAACCAGCCAGATGATGCAGGTAGATATATTCTCAGCCTCTAATGTTTTAGTTTCTTCGGAAGTTTGAGTCAATCTAAGTTTGTATCTCAATCCCAAAATCAATTAAAAAGGATGAATATTTAAAAATACATACTATAACTAACCATTTTTTCTTTTTTTCCCTTAAGAATATGGTTGATGCTTAAAGTTGGCTAAGATTCCACATCTATACTGACACAATTCGTGGAAGAGCAGGTTCTGCAGAAGATTTCACATCAAACCTTAGAGCCAGTGTAGTTATACTCGTACCAGTTGCAATGGCTGCAGCTTTTTTGGGTTTTGCAAGTTATGTATGTTTTCACAGGAAAAGAAGACTTAAAGGTATGTGATGAGAAGGATCAAGATCCTCTGAAGTTTATTTTACTTGAAGTTTGAAGAGATAAAGAGAGGAACAAGGTGGGACTTATATCCACCGTGTTTGTTCTACATCAGTGAACCCCACTTCTTTCCTCTCTGATCCTCAGGTCAAAAGATATGTTACATGATGAGAGCGAAGCCTGATTTATATTTTTCTACTTTTCACACGCACTAAAATTTTGATGTAGTTGCTATAACTTTCTAACTTTCTAACCAGTTTTTTTATCCAGGGGGAAAAAGAACTGATGAAATCCTGTTGCAGAAGTCGGGGACTTCAAAGAAGCACTACTCTAAAGAGAAAGGAACATCAAAAGATGAGTACGATGGTGAAGTTCAAAACTTTAGTTTGAAGACCATTAAGGTTGCTACAAACTATTTCTCAGAAGAAGCCAAACTTGGGAAAGGAGGATTTGGACTCGTTTTCAAGGTTGGAGAGCAAACTTTCTTGCCTGAGTCTATTCAATTCAATTGTATGATGTGGAGATTGCATTAGTAATGATTAATTTTCGTGAACTAAATGGATCATTCACCTTAATCAACCATCTGCCGTCCTGACACTATAAATATGCACAATTTATCGTCCAACTCACTTAACATAGGAGGCAAAAAATTGTAGAGATTTAATTACAAACGTTAAAAATCAAATTGAAATTCGAATGACATTGTAGACACCAAGAGAATGATTAAACATGATAATTATTTTGATAACACCTCCAGGGACTATTTTGCAAACTTTAAAACCAACGACTGTGAATGAACTACACTTTCCAAAGATATATCAGTGCTCATTTTCGCCAGAAAAGAGAAAACTAGCCTCTCTTTTTTTTTTTCATATTTCTAGATTGTGATTAAAATCTAGTATACATGCAGGGGATGTTGAGTAATGGCAAGGAGGTAGCAGTTAAAAGGCTTTCATTCAAATCAGGGCAAGGCCTTGAAGAATTCAAAAATGAAGTGACATTGATAGCAAAACTTCAACACAAAAATCTTGTGAGGCTTTTGGGGTTGTGTCTGGAAGAAAATGAAAAGCTTCTAGTCTATGAATACATGCCCAACACCAGCCTTGACACCTTCTTGTTTGGTTCGTTTTCTCTCCCTCTTTTGATTACCTAAATATCTATATCTGCTTGTTATTAATAAGGATCTTCCTTTTAAGCAGATCGAACAAAACGTCAACAACTAGATTGGGCCAAGAGGAGGAATATTATAAAGGGAATTGCAAGAGGACTTCTGTACCTGCATGAGGACTCAAGACTAAAAATTATCCACAGAGATCTAAAAGCAAGCAATGTGTTACTAGACGAAGAGATGAATGCAAAAATTTCCGATTTTGGAACAGCTAGAATTTTTGGCAGCAATCAAAATCAAGCTAGTACCGAAAGAGTTATTGGTACATAGTAAGTATTTATGATTCTCACAACTCAACTTACATCCAAATGTCACACATCCTACATAATGTTTATTCAAAATTATTCACCATTGTATTGTTCCTTTCAGCAGAATCAATAATACCCTTACACAGAAATTGAATGTGCATAGCGTTGATGTTTTTTCATCGCTAATTTGCTCTATTATCTAAACTGAATAGCACCTAAAAGGTGTTTACTCTTATTGCTTATCCGCCTGACTTGCTAAAGGCTTCTTAAACATTCTATAGTGGATATATGGCACCTGAATATGCCTTAGAGGGAGTATTTTCCATCAAGTCGGATGTTTACAGCTTTGGTGTCATCATGCTAGAAATTATCAGTGGAAAAAGAAACACCGGCTTCTACCAACCAGAACGTGGTTTAAGTCTTCTTTCCCACGTAAGCTCTTTTTTCCTTTGTCCCCTTATGGAGAAATAAGGTTAAAAGTAGTATTATATAATAAATAAATAAATAAAATCATCTAACCTTTGTGAGAGTTTGAACAGGCATGGCGACTCTGGAATGAAGGCAAAGGACTTGAACTTGTGGAGAGTGAATTGGTCAAAACTTGTGCTGATAAGGATGAAGCTTTGAGATGGATCCATATTGGGCTTCTATGTGTTCAAGAGAACCCACAAGATAGGCCCACTATGTCATCGGTTGTTCTAATGCTAGCAAGTTCCAGCAATCTTCCTCGCCCATTTGCACCTCCATTTTCAGTCGGCAGATTCTTCGCTGCTATTCAGTCCTCCTCCACATCTGTTTCCACTGAGAAAGTTTCATGTGATTGTTGACTGAGACAGATCAGTCTCCTCACTTCCTGTATTTATTGATGAGGATCTTCCTAGAACGATCTTATTTGTTGACTCAACTCTTATATGTTTCGCTAGCTTTTGGTTTTATCTCTGTTTTTTGCTTGAGCTGAGAGATTAAGCCTTTGTTTCTTTTGCTTTACTTTTCCTTCTTACATTAGC